GCTAGTAACTTTCCTCCAACCTGACAGTTCACCTTTCAGTATGACCCGCTGTAGTCTCCCCTTTAACCAGTTGCTTATCCACCTCTCAACTTTCATATTAATCCCTATCTTTTCCAATTTAACCAATAATTCCCCATGTGGTACTGTATCAAATGCCTTACTAAAGTTGAGGTAGATTAGATCCACTGCATTTCCTTTATCTAAAAAATCTGTTACTTTCTCAAAAAAGGAGATCAGGTTGGTTTGGCACGATCTACCTTTTGTAAAACCAGCTCTCGTCTCTCTTATCACTTAGTTGTCTCTCAGGTAGGCTAATATCAGTCCATGGGCTGGATCCAATTTACCAGGGTTAGGTCCCGATGGGCTGCTGCAGCTATATTTACCTCCACCTCTGCAGGTATTGGTGACTGCAACTCCCATTGGCAGTGGATCGCTGTTCACCGCCAATGGGAGCTGCAGAAGTGGCCGTGTGTGGGGGGAAGGGGTGCCCCCCAGCCAATGAGAGCTGCAATTGCCCATAGCTGTGGAGATGCAGGTAAATATAGCTGCAGTGGCCTGCCAGGAGCTAACCCTGAAAATTCACTGCTGTTTTATTGCCCACCCCTGCTGTATCTCTACTTCAAAAATACAAAGGCAAAAATGAGGGTGGCGATATGGGAAGTATTGTTAGATGGGGTTGCCAAACCATAAATAGGGGGGTTGAATCTTGCTTAATTATTGAAATCCCTGGAATAGACTTTCAAAGAAGGTTGTGGAATCCCCATCACTAGAAGAGTTTAAGAGCAGGTAAGACAAACTCCAATCAGGATGATCTAGGTATATGGGGCCTACCTCAGCACAAGGCAGGGGTGGGCAATAAGACAGTGGTGGTTTACCAGGGTTAGTCCCTGGTGGGCTGCTGTTGCTGTATTTACCTGCATCTCTACAGGTACAGGCGATTGCAGCTCCCGTTGGCCATGGATCATCATTCCCTGCCAATGGGAGCTGTGGGAAGCAGCATGCACCAGGATACCACTTCCCACAGCTCCCATTGGTCAGGAATGGAATTCCATAGCCCAGAGGCGAAAGTAAGAATAAGAGCCTCCGGAAAAGGGCACTTTTTCCGGAGGATCGGGGCCAGTCTAGACGCTCTTTTCCGGCTTTTTTAAAAGCCGGAAAAAAGCGGCGGACATTTTTATTTAAATGCCGCGGGGGATATTTAAATCCCCCGCGGATTTCCCTACGACGACTAGTGAAATTTACATGCCCCTTCCGGAAGAGGGGCCAGTGTAGACGTAGCCATATAGTAGTCAACACATATATGCATATAATACATCACACACATGCACACATCCACCATGTCTTGTTTTTACCAATAGTTGTTCCACCTAACTGCTGGCCAGATTAGTTAGGTGGGAGAGGGTTGGAGCCGGATCAATGCTCCCATGTTGACTGCAAGATGCCTTAGAGATGTATAGTGTCTTCCCTCTCATGCAGAGAGTCATCATAGGCATTGCAGTTATTTGTCTATGGCACCTTCTTCTGGGTGTTGTTTTAATGCTCCCCCATTTACCTTCAGAGAGGGACCTTCCAAAAGCAGGCACTTGCTGCTTACTTCCAAGGCATCCATAGGTCCAGTCTTTTAATGAGCCGACTTCACAAGTCCCATTGTTTTTATTGTTCTTGAATCTGGCTTCCACCTTTCTCCAGCCATTGCAAGTATCCAGAGATGCTTTTCTTTCATGCCTTATCCATTCACACCTCATTCACTCAACAAGACAGTCAGTTTAGAAAAGGGGGGAGGGGTACAAAGGCTACAAGATACAAGGTTTCTATGTAAAAAGGCTTAATACAAAGTTTCTATGTTCTGTAAAAGTATACGACGTTTCTATAAAAGGATTTAATACAACAAACTAAAGACTAATTACAAAACTAAAAGGACTTGATACAAAGTTAAAATAAAAAAAATGTAATGAGAAAATGATTAATACAGAGATTGAGATTTATCTACAGTTGCATTGGTATGGAGGGGGCTGAGGTGCCTGCTCTGGGGAAGGAGTGGTTGCATTGGAATGGGGGGTGCCTGGCTCTGGGGTAGGGGTGAGTGCATTGTGGTTATTTTTTTTAAATTAATAAAAGATACTTTATAACAAAAGGAAAAACCTAAAAACCAATAATATGGTAACACTTTAAATACTAACAAACATGTAGATAAGGCATGTCAAACTTGAAGCCCTCTGAGGGCCACACAAATGAAAACTGATAGCTTTTAGGGACACCAAAGAAAATGTACTGCTGTAGGACAGTTGTAATTAATTATTATTATAGATTATGTTTTGGGTATATTTTATAATTTTTTTCAGGTCTTGTTTTAATATAGTACAATAATTTGATATGTAAAATATTTGCTCATATAAAATGATTTTTAATTTAAATATAAATTTAAGGTATTTTACAAATTTGTATGATACATAACTTGTTTTTGTTGAAATACAAACAAGTATAGACCGTGGTCACGCAAATATAACAGTCTTTTGTGAAAATTTCAGATACTTTGTAAATCTGAGATTTTGCATAAACATATAATTATTCGTGTAGTTGCAAAAAATTGACATATTTATTGATATAAAATTAATATACATTTTGTAATTTTATTTGGAAATAAATACATAAAAAACAAAAAATTAACAAAATACTCCCCTCCTTTTCCCCAGAGCCAGGCACTCCCATACCCCCATTCTAACCCAATCCCCCTCTGCTCCCCTAGAGCACCACCCCTCCCACTCTAACTTATTGCTTCAAGTGCTTTAAAAAAAGTGAGGGCGATTCTGGAGTTGTGTGTTACTTTGATTTAAAAATATTTCTCTGTGTTATTTTAATAGGCAAGTTAATCTCTTACATTCATAATTATGATGTATTTTATTGCTGTGCGACAGTATGAAAAACAACGGGGTTAACTAGTAAGTAACTCAGCAATTAGGAAGCATTACAGATTGCTTAAAATAAATTTGATATGCTCAATCTTTTTTACCTTTTATTCATAAAAGCAATGTTTGCTGTAACAGTGGTTTTAAATGCTTGATTGAAATATAGTGATGAAATTCATATTTAGGTTGTATAAGATTTATTTCTCTTGTGTTTTATAAAACTTACATGTATTAAGAATTTGGTATTTTTTATGTAAAAGACGTGAACCTAATGAGAACAGGATATGAACATATTAAAGAGAAAAAAATTATTTAACAGAATGTAAACCCCCAAAACTTTATATTTGTCTGTAGTTAGTAAAATAAGTAATTCATTAAACAATAAATATCTTAAGAGGTGGATTATTTACAGTGGTGAAGTGAGGATGGGGCGGGGGAGGAGGAGGAGTTGCCCCCAGGTGCTACGCTAGTGAGGTACCAATTTAGTGCCCCTCCATTCCCTGTCATCCCTATGTTTGCCCACCACTGCTGGCTGGAGCCTCCTCCTCCCAGCCTCCCTGCCCCCAGCCTGACCCTCCTCCACCTCTGCTGGAGGGTTAGTGAGTGCGTGCCCAGCCCCAAACTGGAGGGAGTGGGGTAAGATGCAGTACAAGCTCCCCCTCACCCCAAGGATCCGGATCAACCATGCACCAGGATTGGGGCCTCGCCACATGGTGGTAGTGGCGGCGGGGGGGAAGGGGGCGCAAATTTTGCCTTCGCCCCCGGGTGCATAACTCCCTCACTACATCT